TTCCCTTGTCATCCCAGGCCTCTAACTCTAGCCTGAAGGAAAACGTGCTAATGACAATCCCTCTGTTGCAGGCTGAAGGTAATATGGCCCAACGATACATAATGTGATAGGAAGATTTGGGCCCCATTTTTTCCATTATGTTCCAGAAGTCCTGATTTGGGCAAATGGGCCCACTGGCAAAGGGTATAACTTCTTGGCTATGTTTTAGTGGGTCTACATCCACAAGGGAGTCAGTGGGTAATTCCAAAGAAAGGGTGTGGGGAAGAAACGGAGGATGGAGGACAATATGGGGTCTGAGCCCCCTCTATTTAGAGGTGAACTCGAAAGGCCAAGAATGAACATCCATTACATATCAATGGGAGCAATAAGAAGACGACAATGGTTCCTGCCCTCAAGAAATGTATAATCTACTAAGTAGGCAGAGTATGTATACAAATATAAACCTCATATCCGAAGATTATTCACCAAAGCCTGTTCACTTCAAATACTCTGCTTCTTCGTGCCTGCTGCACTTGGAAAGACATCTAAACGCATGGGAACTGCCACCCTTTCTTCTCTGCAGGCAGGCTCAGGGGTCACCAAGCCTTTGCAGACCCAGGTGGGAGCCCCTGACTGCTCTCCTTTGCAAATGCTCAGTATGAGACCAACTGACTATCAAAACAAGCTCTCATCTTAAGAGTACAATGTTAAAATCAATTTCTAAAATATATTTCAGAGACAAAATTCCAGGTTTCACTGCTTATTTCTCATTTTTGTATGAGAAGTCCCTTCTTCTGTTCTCCCCATCAATAAGATGGGGCTAACCAACATGAACAAGGTTAGTATTAAAACACAGCAGCAGCTTGCAATAACAAAAAGCACTTGTAAGTGACTTCGATCAGGACAAATGATTTAAAAAGATGGTTAAAAGCAATTATCTTAAAGAACTATTTAAACAAGTAATTTTCACAAAGCATTTATAATTTATTCCCACTACAATACTGTCATTATTAACTTAATTTGATAGGAAATGGAAACTTGGGAGGTACAGTGATTTATTCAAGATAGTTATTGCATAAGGATCACACAATCTTTGACGCCAACCTTACTTTACTCATCCAATCAGCTGTCAAATCCTGTATAGTCTACCTTCATAACTTCTTTAATTCATCCCTCCTCAACATAACCACTGCAACCCCCTAGTCCAGAACCTCATTATCAATTCCAAGCCTAAGACTCTTTCCTACCAGTCTCATGGCTTCTCCACTCATCTTGTATATACAACAGATTCATCTTTTGGAAGTACAATTCTGCTCACTTCCATTTCCCTGCTCAAAACCTTCAATAAAGTCATTTCTCAGTCAGGTATTCAAATACTCTTCCCAATCTGTACTCAGGGACCCTTCTCCTGGCTTATTTCCCATTAGTATGTACCAACACCCAAAGCTTTAGCCAAATGGAAACCCACGCTTTCATTCAAAGACATCTTGATTTTTCCCATCCCTCCAACTCTACGTTGAGAAATGACTTTTCCATTCTTCTCACCACCACCTGTGCATGCTCAAATTCTAGTCACTTTCAATACAAGGCCCAGATCAACACGATCTCCACCAAGAAGGCCTTGATTCTCTCTCCTCTGATCTCCCCTGGCACACCTGTATCTTCTTTCATTCCCCCCCAAAAATTTACTGAGTAACTATTAAGGGCCAGGCACTGTGATAAGTCAGTGAATGCAAAGATGAACAAAAATAAATTTTTCTTTAAAGGCTTACAGTTTAATTAGGGAGACAAAAGTACAGAATAATCACACCTTATAAGTACCACAAAAACTGGACACTTGAGCCTCAATGAAGGATTCACCAATCTGGCTTCACTCGGCACGTCAAGCAAGGCTTCCAGCAGAGCTGACATGGGCTGAGTGGGAACAGAGGCAAGTGCCTGCTAAGAGGACCGATGCACAGCTACACTGTCTTCTGCTGTGGAACCGGAGATGGGGAGCAGAGTGTTGGAGAGGAAGGTATGGACTTTGAATTCTGAACTGTAAATACCTTAACGAACCACAAAGGGCTATTTTATGAACCACAATAAAATACTGTTTGTGGAAACAAATTTTAAACTAAAAAGTGTTATGCAAACTTAAGGTATCATTTATTTATAAATAACAATGCTTCCTATCTACCTTTCCCCCGCATTGCTCTTCAGGCAGAGTGGAAAGGAAGGGGAGACAGAAAGATAGAGGGGCATCAATGTGAGAGACACACATCAATTCTCACACATTGATTGGCTGCCTCTTGCACACACCCTGACCCAGGCCAGGGATGGAGCTGGAGACCCTTCAATCCGCAGGCCAACTCTCTAGCCACTGAGCCAAACCGGCTAGGGCTCCTGTCTACCTTTTGAATTTAATTGGCCAGAGCAATCACCAGACCCATTTTAAGAAACATATGATTAGATAGTAAAAGTTTAACAGAATAATCTATAATGTTGTCAAATCTAGATTTTATGATACACTCACTACTCTACTGCTCAATCTCTATATACACACATCCCCCAAGAACACACACATATACAACTCCCAAAGGCAAATGGCTTAAGAGCAGCAAATCCATACTCATGTTTAAAATGAACACTTAAAAATATAACAAGTATCTTCAACAGAGCTCCCTAATAATTTATTATTTTATTGTTAGCAACCTCCCAAATTATAAAACCTGTGCTATCTCTGTTTGTAGACACAACTTGAAGGGGACTTTCCATTTTCTCCTCAGCACCAATAAATTCAGCATCTAAACATTAAAGTGTCATGTGGATTCCTAATATTATTTCAATATTTCTTTAGGAATTCAAATTGGCCAATAAATACCAAACTGTATAGCAAATTGTTGTCTTAACTGTATAGACTTATATTAAGGAACAGAGCTCGCCTTTCAAACTGTCAGAAACCTACCATCTGGAAGCCTGGAACAATGGGAAACAGTGGCACTGAGGAAAAAGGTAGAGAAATGGGCAATGGCCAGGAGGTGCAGTGAGACCTGTCAACTCTTACACAATGACTCAGGGAAAGGGCTTCTGGCTATGATGGCATGAGCAGGTCAGGGAATCCTCTCCTCAAAAGAGGACAACAGTAAGAATGCTGGACAAAACTGTCCCACTGTCATGGCAGGGTTCTGGAAATCAATCAAAGGCAAATAATAAACAGAGAAATTTCTTGGAGAATTGCTAGAGCTTAGAGTAAGGCCAGCAGGAGTCTATAAACTTACTGCCTGGGGCTATTCCAACCCACTAGCCCCACCTCCAATCCCTCAGCAATGCTGGGGAGAACTTGGTTTGATCAGCACAGGGCTGGAGCCATGAAAACCAGTAGACTCAGCCTGGGGCATCTGGAGGAGGGAGACAGTAGAAAACATACAGCTTTGTAGGCTAAAAGTGGGAAATTGAGTAGAAACCTAACGGGAAATACAGTTTTTCTTGCTTGAGGTTGTGGTCTAATTGGGGTGAGTGGTGGGCCAGCCAGAAATCTAAAGGGGAGCCCCTGGAAATGAGACAATTACAGAAGAGCTGGATACGCTCTTCTCCCTTTCCTCACTGACTATGAATCTACACAGATGAAGGGGAGATACAAGAAGGTCGAAGAGAAAGAAAAATCCAAGGCAAACTTGAGAATTGGCTGAACTCTTAATGTGCTTCACAACCCACAAACAGATGGTGAAAGTTTTACAAGCTCCAGATGCTTAAGCACAACCTCTGCCCAGATGACTGGCTGACCACTAAGCTATGGAGACACAGAGGTAACTTCTAGCCAGGCTTAAAAGTAAAAAATGAGAGTGAAAATCACTAAGCAGAAACATTAGTGGCTGCATACCATAGAATAGCTTAAGTCCAGGCAAATAAATTAAATCCATTCCAAAGTTTAAGTCAAGGCAAATTACAGAAAACACACACATGTGAATCTTATCATATGTATTAACGGCTGGATAATCTGATAGAGGAAAGGCAAAAGAATATAAAAACTCTAGCTAGATATTTCTATATAGAGCATAGAAAATTTTTACCTTTGGGAAATATATCACACAATCCCAAAGACTGTATGATTTCCTGTAGAATAATATATATGTGATACTACCTACTGCTAATTTAAGACATTTCCTTTACTTTAGCAAGTTAGTAGTAAGAAGTAAGGTCAAAGAGACTGGGGCCAGGGATTAGTAAAGCAAGTAGAGAGTTTGGATTTTATTCTGAGCATGTTGGGGAACATAAGCAGAACAATAGTGTTATTTGCATTGGTTTTTTTTAAACCTATCTTGGCTGCTATGTGGAGAATGGTGGCAGCAACACAGGAAATAGGGGCTGAGGTCTGAATTAGAGTAGTGACGACGATGATAAACACCTTACACGAACTAGACTCTTTAAAATCACCTAACAGCCACTTGATGTAAGAACTACTGTCTTCATTTTACAGATGAGCAAACCAAGGCAGAAAGAGATTAAATAACTGGCCCAAGGTCATACTGCTAAGTGGGGGCCACATTAGGACCCAAACCCAGGAAATCTGGCAGAAGAGCTGAGCTCTTAGTCATGTAACACTATCCAGCTGTAGTGTTAAGACAGAGAAGAGGTTGAAGTAAGAAAATATTTTCAGGTTACGGTTGCCAGGACTTGCTAATGGGTAAGATGTAGAGATGAAGGAAAAAAAGAAATAAAGAATGACTCACAGGTTTTGCTTGAGCAACTAGATAAAAACAGCAGCATCCCCCTAAGTTTAGTCTCACCAGCACACTTACCTTGTTAAACTGTCTGCTCCACCTCTAGTCTACAAGCTCCTGGGCAGGGGCAGGGCTGTGAGTATGAAGGTTAAAGCCTCATCTTCTAATTACAATGCTTGGAGTAGAACCGAAAGGACATAATGCAATGTAGTGTAATGTAAATGCTGAGTTAACTCAAAGGGTTTCTGGTAGGCCGATCAAGGTGAGATTTCACAGATGACACGCACCCTTCCATTTTCCACCTGAGAATTCACATACCGTCAGAGATCCATTTTGTGCGCTGGGTGAGTTGCTACTCTGCTCCCCGTGGGCCTGCGTACTTCCGTAGAGTGTCAGGTTGTGTTCACTGGTCTGGCCGGCATAGTCCTGAGTGTGTGGCACTCCGTATTCTGTGGGAATTCCGTTCTGTGGAGGAGGTGGAAACGGGATGGTAGTAAAAGGCTGAACCATTGCGTCAGGAGTTGTTGTTGGCTCCTGGTTACCCTATAAGAAACAGTGGGAGAGAGAAAATAAGGAGAAAAAGTGACTTTACGTTCTCATTACATAATTATTTTTAAGGTAAGTATATCAAATTCTCTGAATACTCCCTCACTGCTCAGGTAAAATATAACACTTACTTGACGGCCATTAAAACGCATACTCTCTCAAACAAAACGCATTCAAAGAAAGCTACAGAAAGATCTCACACTATTTTTAAAGAGTCAACCATCATTACTACAATCAGCTATTCTGCATATAATAAAACAGAAAAAAACTACAAAGGCTATTATAAATGAGAAATATGTGATCATGAATTGGGAAGCTTGATATTCTTAAGATGATCATGCACCCAAAACTCCACAGATCCAACCATAAACTCAGTGTGTATTTTTACAGAAATTGACAAGCTATTATTAAAATTTATACGGAAATACAAAGGACCTAGAAGAGTGAAAACAATTTTGAAAAAATAACAAAAACTGAAGGACTTATACTACCTGATTTCAGACTTATAAAGCTACGGTAATCAAAACAGTGTGGTACTGGCTTAAAGACAGACAAATAGGTGAATGAGAAAGAAAAGAAACCAGAGACAGACACATGCATGTACAGTTAGTATTAAGGCATCAAATCAACTCCATGGGGGAAAGAAAACCTTTCTTGAAAAATGAAAAATTCAATACCCAATGGAAATAAAATAAACCTCAACTCTCATCCCATACATGCAAAAGTTAACAGACCGAAATGTAAGAGCTAAAACTATAAACCTTTTAGGGGAAGAGAAAGGAAAATCTTCACAACTTCATAATAAACAAAGAATTCTTGGGACACCAACAATAAGAACTATTAAAGAAAAGGTTGATAAACTGGACTTCATAATAATTAAAAACCTGCTCTTTGAAAGACACCATTAAGATAATAAAAAGATAAGACAGAGACTGAGAGACAGTATCCACAACACACACATCTGACAAAGAACAGGTATCCAGAGTCTGTAAGAACTGTTACAAATTATAATGAAGGAAAAGCATTTTTTTAAAAATGGGCTAATGACTATAACAAACAACTTCCCACAAAAAGATATACCAATGGGGAGAAAATACATGGATGGAAGGCTCAACAACCACATGTATCAGGGACATGAAATTAAAATCAAATGAGATACCATTTTACACTAGAATGGCTAAAACACAGAAAACACCAAATGTTGACAAGGATAAGAACTTTCATACATTGCTTATAAAAGTGTAAAATGGCGTATCCACTTTATAGGACTGTTTTGCAGTTTTACTTTTTTATAAAGTTAAAATACTAC